ATGCAGTCAGGGGACAATTGTTTCATCTAAAGGTATATAGAATGTATGTGTTATACACATGCGGTCAGGGAATTGTGTTTTATCTAAAGGTATACTGATATCTATTGTAGTGTGCTTAGTTATTGTTTAAAGTGATACAGTGGGTTTTCTACACACTGTACACTACAAGAGTACCTACTATAATAAGAGCATGAAGATTAATCAGAATTTTAGATAAAAGTATAATTTAGCTTAATTCTGTCGGTAATTATATATCTTTAATGCCTCAAGAGAAAAAGATATCAAGTTTGATGGCTTGTAAACTTAGAGTGTGGGATCTTTCACTTAGAAGAACTAAAACAATGTGAATATTTTAAAAATAGTTTTCTTCAACATACGTTATCTTTAGTTTAATCTTTTTTTTTTACGGCCAAGCGGAATGCTACTAAACATAATGAGTTATTACATTAAAAACACGTGCAACATTAATATGATGAATGTCCAATCATATGAGGTTAATAAGGGTTATGGGTAGAATTAAAACGATGTTCAAGACTTCTTTCATCAAATACATTATCGATGACCTAATTGGCTTGTTATTTTAGCATAGTTTATTAATAAATAAAAAAGTAACCTTACACGAAATTAGGAGTATGATATGTATATATTCCAGAGAGATGATTTAAAAAAGAACAATCTAAAGAAATTATACGTCTTTAAATGATGTTACACAAACATCATAAATCAAGAGAGCTGAAAGGATGCTGATGAAACAAAGAGACATACAGATGGAAAGTGTATAATGCTGGTATAGATTTCCTTGCGATGTGATATATAGTAAGGGAATTTGTTGCAATGAGACAAAGAAATGAAAGTTATTACAACAGAAATTGTTGTTCATCAAAGTATGTATCAGGCAGAAGAGACGAGTGTCTGGGAAGTCCATTATGTCAATGTTGTAACAAATCAAACCGGAGGTCATCTTTTGGTCTGCAGCCAAATTGGATGCTTCTTCTAACTATGACGTAAAGACTTTATCTGAAAGCCATTTAAACTAAGGTTAAAAAAGTCTCTCCCTGATTTGCAACTAGAAGTTTTGGGGGCAGCTCTCTCCCTTATTTTTATCCATCTCTCCTGATGTTTATCGGGTTCTCCCCATCTCTATCTAGTCTTGAGTCAGTAGTCAAAGTTAGAAGAATGGCCAGAGTTACCACGTACCCAGTCTTTCACTACCTTACCTCTGTGTAAGTTTACCTTGTCATCTTATTAACCTCTATGTAAGTTTGCGTTGTCATGTAATTAACCTCCGTGTATCATGGAGGCTAATGAGATGACAAGGTAAACTGACAAGGTAAACTTACACCTCATTAACCTCCATGTAACTTTACCTTGTCATCTCATTAAACTCCGTGTAAGTTTACCTTGTCATCTCATTAAACTCCGTGTAAGTTTACCTTGTCATCTCATTAACCTCTGTGTAAGTTTACCTTTTCATCTCATTAACCTCCATGTAAGTTTGCCTTGTCATCTCATTAACCTCTGTGTAAGTTTACCTTGTCATTTCATTAACATTTATGTAAGTTTACCTTGTCATCTCATTAACCTCTGTGTAAGTTTACCTTGTCACCTCATTAACCTCCATGTAAGTTTGCCTTGTCATCTCATTAACCTCTGTGTAAGTTTACCTTGTCATTTCATTAACATTTATGTAAGTTTGCCTTGTCATCTAATTAACCTCCATGTAAGTTTGCCTTATCATCTCATTAACCTCTATGTAAGTTTACCTTATCATCTCATTAACCTCTATGTAAGTTTACCTTATCATCTCATTAACCTCTGTGTAAGTTTACCTTGTCATTTCATTAACCTCTGTGTAAGTTTACCTTATCATCTCATTAACCTCTATGTAAGTTTACCTTATCATCTCATTAACCTCTATGTAAGTTTACCTTATCATCTCATTAACCTCTATGTAAGTTTACCTTATCATCTCATTAACCTTTGTGTAAGTTTACCTTATCATCTCATTAACCTCCATGTAAGTTTACCTTGTCATCTCATTAACCTCCACGTAAGTTTACCTTATCATCTCATTAACCTCTATGTAAGTTTACCTTATCATCTCATTAACCTCCACGTAAGTTTACCTTGTCATCTCATTAACCTCTGTGTAAGTTTACCTTGTCATCTCATTAACCTCCATGTAAGTTTACCTTGTCATCTCATTAACCTCTATCAAACTTGTAACAGTAATGTCTGAAAGATAATAATTTGCACTTACGTAATTGAGTAAAACAAATATATATATATATATGCCATTTCCATTTATGGAAGCGAATATTAAATATTATACATGTATCACGGAAATATATAATGAAAACTAGAAAAGTAAGAAACATTCTGGTAGACGATATTGGCCTGATCAGTTGAAAATATAGCATCAGACTGAAGTGACCATCTCCACACACATTGTTTGTGAGCTCAATAAAGATTGTTCGTTAATTTCTTTCTCAGGTTCAGTACTACTAAATAATAATCATCTTGTTGAATATGAAGACCTATCCTGTTCTTCTAAAGTTAATTCAGTTCAGCCTAATATACCACAAAGTGAACATTTTGAACATGCCAAACTGATATATCTTTCTTCATAATGAAATTACCCTAGAAACCATTTGTTGTAGACAACCTCTACCCACCCCCTGGATAAAAATGGATATGTTAATTGAACCCACCTCTGAATGTTGTGTCTGAATCTGTTGTAACTGGCATAGGTGTTGAGTTGGCCGAATCCAACACCCAAAGAAAGCAATGACTGTAGGCCAGCATGACACCAAACCTGCAAATATACATGTAAAGCTAAATTAGTCCACCTGTATATATATATATGGAAAGGTGTCTTATCTAATATAACAAACTGTAGTTAATGAAGCATTATAGCAATTAGTAAGATCCAGAAATGTTAGCCAAACTGTAGTTAATAAAGCATTATAGCCTTTAGTAAGATCAGGAAATGTTAACCAACCTGTAGTTAATGAAGCATTATAGCCTTTAGTAAGATCCAGATATGTTAGCCAAACTGTAGTTAATGAAGCATTATAGCAATTAGTAAGATCCAGAAATGTTACCCAAACTGTAGTTAATGAAGCATTATAGCAATTAGTAAGATCCAGAAATGTTACCCAAACTGTAGTTAATAAATATTATAGCCTTTAATAAG